TAAATATAAAAAGATTTTTGTTACAAAAAAAAAAAAAATGGGCATTATATATTTTTTTAAAGGCAGGTGAATTAAACAAATCCAAAAAATGAAATCAAGCCGGAACAAAAACTAAAAAGGCTTAAATAAATAATAATTTAGGCCTATATACTATCAAGGAAACAGAAAAATAAAACCAAACATATCTTAAATATAAAATGTTTTTTTTTAATACAAAATAATCAATTATAGCCTTCATCCAATGCGAGGAACAGAAATATACTTTTTTAAATACCACAGAGAAAACTAGGCACACATAACAAGGTAAATTAAGCAAAGAAAAAAAAAATCAATTAGAAAAAATGGACTTAAAATAGCTTGAAAATAATAATTTAGACCGTGATAATGGCCAAGGAGATGTAAAAATGTTGCAAAAGGTTTGCTTAATGTAAGAAGAAAAACGAACTATCTATTGTCCGAAAGAAAGAGAAATAACTAGGTTCACATTAAAATAAATCCATTAGTCATCCGATTGACCAAATAACTTCTTTCAATTAATTAATCTTTATGTAAGGCATTGTTTGAGATAAAAAAGTCAGTGTCACGAGCGGGATTCGAACCGACGACCTTCGGCTAAAAAAAGTCTGGACTAAAACCAGGCGTACATAGAACTGAAAGAAAAGATATATTTTAAAAATAATTAACGTTAACGGCCGCTATGAAATTCGAGAAACAAGAAAGGTAATCCGTTAAATAATAAATAATAAACCAGCCTGCCTTAATAGTACTGTACATAAATAAAATGAAACATAATATACTCTTATTTATTCATAATTAAATGAACTAATCTTCAAAATATCCGAAACGCAGATAAACTTTAAATGATAAATTTTAAAATGAATAAATCAAACTTGTCCTCATATACCAACAAGGAAGAGAAAAGTGAAACAAGGCATAGAGTAGAACAAGGCATGGTAGAATTCCTTCAACCTGATGATGGGCTAAAAGCTCGAAAACCGAATCGTTGCATAACAACTTACTGTGAGTAGGAATTATCTTTGTAAAAAGGATTGAACACCGCACTCACTCTATCATTCTTCATTTTTCAAGCATATTTAAGTAAAAAACAACCCAGCGGCGATTTGAAAAATAGAACAGACTGAACCACACTTCAACATGCAGAAAAAAGAAGAAACTAGGAATATTTATGAAGCACCATGAACAACAAAGTCCGAGAAAAAGATCGATAATATGATTTTTGTTGTATGTTGTAAAATGTTATTTATATACATATTTTGTTTAGGTTTATGACTTGTATATTATGTCATGTTCTTGGTTCTTCTTCCAACTATAGATAGTCTCTAGAATCTTCATCCTACTGATTTATTATCACGGTAAATGTTATATATAACATTCACTAGAAAACAGACTAGAAAGTCTGACCCGTCTTCATGACGGGGATATAAATATAACGGAATACGAAAAGATGTGGTAGAATACAAAATGGGTCCGACCCGAATCGGAGGCAGGTGTCCACATTGTTTCCCCGCGGATAGGAAGTCGGACATCCTGGACACCTGCGTCTTCTCGGGGATATTAATTGCGCAACAAGACGTCCGGGACGTAGTTCTGTTCCCCAGGGTTGAAGGTCGCTGGCTTGTGTCCAGGGGGACCCGGTCAGACGATCCCGCGTACCACCCAATTGGCACGACGCCCTTTATACTTTAAAACGGCCATTCAGCCTGGCGAATAAATCCGGATCGAATCCGTTGGAAAACTTTCTCCGTTTATCATCTGGACGTCGAGAAACCGTCACAACCGGCCCCAGTGGAAAAGGCGTATTTGCATAACGTGTCGACCGCCCGGATCGGTTCTGATGCCTACGTGCTCACCGGGTCGCGGACTTATAAACGCTCGCAGATAATGACCCTTCCTAATTATGATGTTCCGAAAGGGCCGTTTGCTCCTTTCGTTATTACTATTGCCCCGGGGCGAGTATCCTTGTTTTTGAGCTGAGATCGGCATCGGATTACATAACCGTCGGCCCCTGGAGAAAATTATCCTCTTGAACAGCCTCGCCCTGAAAACACGGAGTAAACGGTTGATTCTCAAACTGGAAATCCGTCGAATTATTCATGATACGGATTTTCATACCATCTCGTGGCTATTAAAATTGACGAGGACTTCCATTGAAGATTACTATAATATAGAAACCTGACAAACCGATTGCGTGGATAAGCAACTATTTTCAAAAGCAAACGGCTTCATTTCAACAATGTTTATTTTAATAATAGCCGTCATTTGAAGATAAGGAGATCTTAAAAATATGAATATACCAGCATAATTTTTACATTTATACTTTGGGAGTTGGGACTGTAAGCATTGAGAAAACAGACAGGGCCATACGAGAAATCACGACGATCTAAATAAATCCGGAGGGCTTGGGGAACACCAAAGCCAACACAATGAGGCCCCATTGCGATAATACACTTCGAGCCGGAATGATAGTCATCGATCAAACAGTCGACCGTCTATCGTACAATGCAACACCGAAGGTCGAACGTTTAACGATTCCGTTGTTTTATAGCTCTTCACTCTGATGAAAATAAACGATAAAAATAAACGTTTCGAAATGACCCCGGCCGGGAATCGTGCCAAATGACAACCCACTGATCTCCATGGGGAGTTCGGAGTGGGATGGATAAGTGTCTCCGGCCGGCTCGGAAGCAGATAAGCGCCGATACGGACCCGTTATCCCAAAGGTCACCTCAGCGGAAGGGTCGTTCAACTCCTAATTGCACCTTTCTTTGTAAACTGCTCTCTCCAAGGCTCTCCCCCTTCCAGGCCGCCTTATCAACCGACACGCGTTATATATTTGCCTTTCTCATATTTATCTCCTTTCTGCTGCAGTTGGCCTGCAGTGCCAAACAGAATAGAAATATTCAAGTCTGTACCCCACTGGGAAAATATGGCTTTTGTCATTAATCAAACAATAATTTATTTCCAATTTTCCTCTAAATAACCTTCAATACAAAAATAGTTGAATGTCTCCAGGAAATTTAAACCCTTGTAACTCGACGCTTGATCTCTCACATCTTGGTCCACTTGTGACCACATGTGGGTAATCTCGATACTAGTGTACCATTTGGATCCCTCCAAGGCTTCGATAAGTTTGGAGATTATGTGGATTATTCAATCTTAAATTATTTTCGATCTTTGAGCATCATTGGTAAAAAAAATAAAATAAATCAGAACTAGATGTCTATTCGAAACTATTCATTGTAAAAACTGATTGAGTGGCCGCATCACGGCGATTCATCCCGCGTTCGAATCTCAGCGGCCCGGAATTCGACCGTGACATATGGACTTAAAAATATTTTTTTTTAACCCTGGAACCCAAGGGTTAATATGACCTCGTAGTTGAAATATACCCGTAAAAAATAATAAACTAAAAAACTGATGAAACTGTTGGAGTGATCTGAAGGCGTCAGGGTGTCATTTGTCACATAACTTTCCTGGATCTTAAAGATCAGCGTCGTCTTTAAAGTTTTGAAAAATAAAAGGAATGATAGTGGCTCCAATTTATCCTATCTTCAACTTAATTTTCATGGTAAAAATTTTTTTTTAAGTTTTAAACAGGTTAAGTTGTGTAATGTATGACTATTTCACAATAAGCTAGGGAGGGAAATAATACCATGCAATGGACAAAGCCCGCCTCTTGTGAAGTATAGATAATATAGGAACTTTCATGAAAGCTGACAGACCAGATATGACCGATTAGTTAAGAAGTGTATGTGAAAAATGTGAAAACCGGTTGTGCCGATTTATTGACAATCAACTTGTAAGATCCCCGTAATTTTTTTCGGGTCTGGTCGAAAAGAAGCACCAGTCGGATCCGAACTGGTAATAGGAAATTGGTTAAGTTTCGGCCGGAAACTAAGCAAGTAAAAGGCATTAGAAGACGGTGAGCACAGTGGGGGGAATATAATTTTCCATGATTAACCCTTCCGACACCGCCAAGTTTTTAATACGTCAAGTTGGGGGTCGGCGCATTAATGCCAAAGTCCCTGCCCCCGCAATATAAATGAATTATCTTCCAGGGGAAAAGTTTTTAATTAAACCCCCGCAACACGCCACCCCATCGCGTCCGACAGGCATTCAAGGGTTGGGGATTTATACGGTGAAACTTTGTTTGCAACCACCCCGCCAGGGAAGAACCCTTGCCGACGGAATGCCTCAACCTCATTTCCGTTGGAGTCGATTTCCCCGGGTTGTACGTTCTCGGTACTTTGTAAACGGATAGACGGGTGCGAGTCCATTCCGACCGGTGATTCACACGTCTGGGGAGCGCAGGATGGGAAGGGAACGACTTCCTTCCTGTTATTGCCTCTGTCGATCAACATTCCGAATCTACAAACGAAAAATTAAAAAGATTTTTTTAACAAATGAAAGTACTTCATTCCATTTGCTATAATAAATAACAACCCAAATGTGAATTAAAAAAACATCAAAAACAGAAAATTCTTAAATTGACCCGACAGTCATGTTAACTGCAGCACAAAAACAAAATTTGATCATGTTGCCTTGACTTTTTGAGTTTTGTTTTGCTAATGTGTTCGACTTATGCTCCGTTAAAAACAGGCTGAAGTATGTGATCATCGGGAAGGAAATTTTAACAACCTCCCAGGTAAAAAAGATGGCATTAATGGTTACCATTTAAGACTACTCGGGCAGATGGAACAGTTTGGCTTTATTTTTAACATGGTCGCTATGGCCGGCCTCTTCCCACTGAGTCATTCTTTCACATCGCCTTTCATTCCGTTCAAGGCCTCTCCCTCATGATAAATGCCTCCTTCATTGAATCGTGCATTATTTAAGGACAAACCCTTTCGACAACAGTGAGCGAAAATGGCTTATGTCGGCAATACTTAAAAACCGACTCAACCGCGTAAAGGGCGGTCATCATCCGATGAAAATTATCTTGTCTGGAAAAGCATCAAAAGTTGGAAAAAACATCTCACCTTTGTCTTCTTTGTCAGATGAAGGCTGGCTCGTAGATTTTCCTACAACAAAGAAAAAGAACGTGTTAGAAAATAGTGACATGGGTAAACTATAGTTATAATAAGAGAAAAGTGACGCACTTCATAAATGTAAAGAATGCTGCAAGTAAAATAAATCATTCACAATTGGTACATGATTGGTAAAATAACGTTAAAAAAGGCCTGAACCCTCAAATGCACTAATAATTGGAGCAGTTTACGATTATCATAATCTTGAGGGCAGGAGAAGAGTTCTGAACATAATAGGCTTAATGAACCTCTATTTTCTATGTGGAACAAATAGGTCGTGCCTTCAATTTGTATTTATTGAGTGTACCTATGTATGTTCCCTCATACCACAGGTGTCTTTAACACAGTTCTATTTATTCATGTATTCAAGATATAATTTACTGCAGTTAATCACTCTCTTTCTTTTCTTCTTCAGTTCATATAATTTTAACTAATAAACCATACAATTTAGTAGACAATCTATACGATCCTTTAATAATCACACAATTAGAAGGTGAGAGTCATTTGCAATTATTTGATAGTGTACTGTTTAAAATATCGTGTCAACGGCCGTGTAAATTTTGGGTGAGGGGTCTCGGGCACATCTGGGGCCAGACACGATCAGAGTCTCCTGCAAGGAGAATGTTTACAGGTCGGGGTGTTTATTTTTATTCGCCGGCCCCTCCTGAGTTCGTCGTGTGTTTTTATAATTAGGACGGAGCAGATGTGTTTTGGCCGTGAAGTCAAAATCGACCCCATCGGCGGAAATACAGCAGGGGGTCTGCATTCCGCGGCGGTGTTTACTGCCCGTGGTTAAAAATAGAGAAAACAAATGTATGATTGTTTTTAAAGATTTACTAGGGATATCAGGTTTCAAGGGAACTGCCATAATTGGAATTAAGTGTGTGTAGAATGAAATTTAGTTGTAAAGATGAATGAGGTGGCAACCCAATGGTCGTCCACTACCCCAATACTATCAAATAATTTAATACAACTATAATAATATAATGGTTTATGAAAGTTCACATAACACTGTTATTATATCAAGTCTTGTGATCCTTTTCGAGAGCGATCTCATAGAGCATTGCTAATTGTCTATTATTGTATGCACATTGTTAGTATGTTGACATCCTTGACCTTTTAGAGTAAGGGAAGAGACAGGGTGCTTCGGAGGAAGTATTTTCTTAATGTGTTAGGAGCTGCCTAAAACCCTAACGATGATGATGCTAGGGAGCGGAGGTTTTGAATCCCTAAGCACTACAGTCTTCTGGCATATTGTACTTTCTCTAATTTCTTAGTTCAATTCAATCGATCCATCGAATCGATCCTTCTCTTAGGAAGTAGTAGGTCATTGCTGCAAATATTTTTCTCGAGTTGTCTTGGTATTGGTTGTCTCCATCGAACGGTTACTTCGCATTCGAAGATCTGCCAGTTTCTTCTTCCTCGCTGCATAATATACAAACGGAGCCATTAATGAATTATACACATGTCGTGTAGGTGTGTTCTGAGATACCAGTGTCCTTGCACCTCCGGAGCTCGTCCACTTCTCCTCTTGTTTTGTGGACCCATTCTCAGATGGAGTAGTCTGTGATTGATCTTGTTATCTCAATTATAGGTTCTGGGAATGGTATTGAGGTTCCCCTCTGGGCAGTTTGTCTGTTTCTTGGTTAGCCAGAAGTCCTTTGTCTCCTTGCGTCCAATATAGTATCAGGGTCGGGTTTTCCCAGGTTTTGGAGATTTTGGATACATTCATTGACTTTTTGTATGTGACCTTTTTACGTGCAACCTTTGGCTGATTGGTCAGACGAGCTTCAGCTTCTCGCTATCTGATCTTACGTGTTTGGCAGACTAAAACAGAAAGGATTCGAAAATCATAATGAAAACGACCATATTATACGTTTTGTTTATTGAGATTTTTCAAATGCTCTCGGTCGTCGACTTATTTTAAGTCGGCTATTGACTGATAAGCATTTATTATGAAACCGTTCAAGATGATTCGCGTATTAATTGGAAGATTAAAATTGTTAACTTTTCACTCTACTAACATGCTCTTTGTCATCAATCCTGTTAATTGGGGTGACAACGTTACAAGGGGGGAATTCATTAAATGTTACATCTTCCGTTTGAAGGGTAAGGGTAATTATCAACGGAATCTTACAGACAAAGACCTTTTCGAGGGTGAGAACCGGGCGCCTCCAAATGCGACAAACAACCCCCGCCCATCGGGAATGCCAGTAGGATTCGATCAGAATGGGCACAATTATAAGTTATGAAGGCAAAACTTCAGCCCGGTTGTCGCCTCCGGACGTCGGACGGTTGATATCTCTGCGGGGAGGGCGAGCCGGTTGAAACTTAGCCACTGGATTAACAACTAATTATTGGCTCAGTCCCGCCGGTTGTTCGCCGAACAAATCCCATTACGAGAGTTGACCAAGGCTGACAGGAACAGATTTTAACAAACCCCGGTTGATAATAGTTCGACTCGCTTGTTTGGAACAGTTACAAGGAAATTAACAGGGGTAGCACCGAGATTAACCGTCGACCGCTCTTTAAACCCTCATTCTCAAACCTGGCCGATTCGGCGACAATTTTAATGTTTTTATCAGTGTCCATTAAAATAACAACAGTCTGGAATATCACGCCACACGCGTAAAATTCTAACCGTATTTGAATTGACAAAGCGCAACAAAAGATCAAAATTAGCCATTACAAGCAAACTGCTAATAAAATTGTCCATAAAAGGAGTCACCTTTAATAAATTAACGAGTAAAGCAGAAAACTAATATAGATAACAAGCTGAACAAAACAATTTAACTAGAAAGAGTAAAAATCAAACGTAATGTCTCTCCATAGACCATAACAAAAGGCAGATCAAATATTGGAAAAGACCATGCTACTGGTTCATCACCCCGCCCACCTCAGGAAGGAATTTCATAAAACTAACATCGCTAATACTGGACTTGATAAGCTCTAAACTGTTCTAATTCCTCTTAAAGCATGATTTCGTACCTACTCCAACTTTAATCATATATCCGTCATAATAATAAAGGGCATATTATCCGTTTTGCCTTTCTTTCCTTAAGAAAGCATTCTTTCTGCAAGTTATAAAACGTTTTGGTCGATGATTTTGTCACACTGTACAGTAATTGCGTTAACTGCGAACCCTCGCGGACATCAAATCCCACATGTAAAAAACATATTGGCTAGAATATCTGGCTTAGATTAGATTATTTATGGTCAGAAGCTCAAGTCAAAATAGCCGGTCGATGCAGGGGTTCGATTAGCTCAACAATTTAGAAGATCAATTTTAAAAAAAATCGCTAAAGGTAGGGAAGGTTTATCAATCGTAAGCTGTTACCACTGTTCGAATCCTTAAGCACATTTTTCGAGACGGACATTAGTTCGAAGAATAGCGGGCCCAATCGTTTCGCTTCTCCTTGCTTATAACCCTGACATATCGACTTATCAGATTTTTCCAAAACGACACGAAAATTTATGAAAGGAATTTAAATTAACTTTTACACAATTTTTTTAACAACACTGATTTTGCAAGTTTTCCCTATATGGTGTGCTGATGTATTTGATATGTAGTTATGGATCATCGAGATCTGCCTCCTTCTGTTGGTGTTGTAAAAAAACCCAGACTTAATCCACCAAAGGCATCGACTAACGCCGATACGTGCACTCACTCCTCATGAACTTGTAAAAGAGACTCGACTTCATACAAATCACACAAACCACAAACTGAAGATGGCGAAATTCCGAAACGCTGAATTGCGTCTTACAAATTACTGTAGGATTTTTACATTACACAGGGGGATCCATCAGGTTTCGTACATAAAAAATCGATTGTGATATTGGATAATAGGGTACGTTTGTCCCAATGAGTTAGTTTTCAAATATGGATGGAAAAACAGGCAAATCGGACAAGAAAAAGTGGAAACTTCAGCGTTAATGAGTGGTCCCAAAGTAATATTTGGAATGTTTAGATCTGAAATAAACCTTGGCTGGTATTAGAATTTTCTTTCTCCAATGTGTCAATAATGTATGAATCAATGGTTGTGCCAATATGATTTTATTCCGTTTGCAAAATATTTTCTTGACAACGATTACACTGATAATGTAAAGAACCTCTATGTTTAGATTTTTAATAAAATTCTTTGATCTTTGAATGTTTTTATGCCAATGTCCATTAAACCTGTTGACTGCTGTATTTTTGAGGAATTTTTTTAATTTGTATTTTGCAATCAGCTTTTATGAAAAAAGAAACGAATCGGAGAAAGGGGACGGAGGATAATATCCTAAAGAACTCGGAGTAGTCTTGATTAAAAATGAAGTTCTGGAGGCTGAATGTAGACACAAGGGGAAGTTTTATCGACGACGCCGAATAACGGTATCCAGGGCCAAATGAATTTTTATCTTCAAAAAGACCCCCTCGTGATCTGAGGGAAACGAATCGTAGGGATTGTTTCAAAACCAATCTTTCGAAGGGTGGGCTTAAATAACATTCCGTCTGAAACAAGATCGCTGTTTTTACGGGAAACCGTAAATTGAAGTCTTAAGGATTGAAAGGGTTGTAAATCGTCACTATAGATAGAAAATCAAACAAGGCTTCACATACGTACATTGAACGAAATTCCTTCCACTCCTTTTAGAAATTTGCGTTGTTTGGTTATTCGGCCACCCTCCGTTGATGGGGGTTGAACCTCCTCGCCCGAGGGGTTCCCTTTACCTCACGGCTTTAAACCATTTCAATTATTAAGTTCGCTGACCTATTTCCAACGCCCCGTTTCAATTATCGATCGGTCTGGGTTGATTGCTCCCTGCTAATTGGATTATTTCTTTGTACCGTCAAGTTTTTTGTTTGGCGAAGAGGAGGATGGGGGTTGAAAAAGGATTATTTGCCAACCTGGACGTCTTTTGTTCCCATTGTATGTCCGAAAGGGGAGAATTTCTGCACTGTTTATGAACAGTACTGTTAACAAATCAGCTGACAAAGTGTCACCTTTTATCCA